CTACGTTATGATTGATATCATATGATAGTAATTTTGTAATTTTATCATCTTCTTTTGCCTTTCATCACAGTAGACCTAAGAAAAAAGTTATCGTTAATTGAATTTTTATATTAATATATTAATCAATGGCTTACATTTTCAATCCTGTGAACATACTTTTTTACTCGATAATTGCAATTGGCTTTTTCAATATAAAAGTGCTGTTTGTTAGAAAACATTTGCTTCTCACAAAAGCTTTGCAATTTCAAAGACAATTGATTCAATCGTCACTTTAATTGATATTTCTGATTAAATTTTTAAAGCTGGTATCAAAGATTGGTGGTTCAAGTAATAGTTGCAATCGTGGTTACTTGTTTCTTGTGCATATTCGCTTATTTATTTGTGTTCCTGTAAGTCAATTGAAAATATCATGTTAATAAAACGGACGATGATTTCTGTCTACTGATATTTAAATACAATACCAATTTTTCTAGCTGCAAGCAACCTCCCAAAACTCTTTCTGAAATTAAGATACTTTTTGTAGAGCTTGTAATGACATTACTTATAAGACAATATTGGTATACTAATAAAACAAATAAAATAAATATCAATGTTTTATTTGTATGTTACAATAACTTACAATTTAAGAACTATCTTTTACAAAAAAATATAAATATGAAAGACAACACTATATTGTAAAAAAAATGTTGACACCCAAAACTACTGTTAAATTTCTGGAAGCAGTATAATACTTTTTGTTATTTATTTAATTAATTTGAACAAAAAATTAACATCTATATAAATATTTATATTTTTTTTTTCAACTACATTACTTGAGAGTCGTATTATGGTACTTTTTGTAATGAGCAACCAGCTTGTCACGTCTGAAGAACTTACCGGAACAAATATTGCACGCAAACTTGGGCTGATCGGTGTGAAGCATCATGTGGGCCGTCATGTTATGCTTATACTTGAACCAACCCTGACATATGTTGCACTGATATTTCGGCAACTTGAAACATTCTACTCGTATATGACGGTTCAAAGAGTAACGCCTCATGTAGACTCTGCCACATTGTTTGCACTTGAAGTTACTTGGTTCTTCGTTGGACGAAGTCTGTCGTTGGTTCACGCCATCGGCTGTTCGCGTTGATTGACGTTGCTTTGAGGGATAGTAGTGGCACAAGTTCCAAGCTGAAAAAGAAAAACATACGCGTCGATGAAGTCAAGGTCTGGTACAGTGAACATTAATACCTTCGAGCTTTTTTTCTTTTTTGTTTTGTTTACGTTTACAATTTTTTTTTTTTTTTTTAAGCAGCATGCAACCTTCGATTAGTTTGTTAATAATAAAATAAAACAGATAATTAAAGCTGCTACTGTGAAAGTCTTTTTTATCAATTATTACCTTTGGACAGTACGTTTTTTTTTTTTTTTTT